AGAAAAATTTTGAAAAACTAACATCAGATTCGAGTTCCTCGACCCCGATTACCCTTCGATCAAGCCTTATAGAAAAAATTCCCTTTATATCTTTATCTCATTCTTCGACTAATCAGTGAAGTGCGGACATACAAGCAATCAGACAATTTATGTTTGCAAGACTCTTCTCTACGAGAAAGAGAATAAGAATCAGATATAACATATAAAATTGAAATTTTATTCTGACAAAAAAATGGGAAATATCAAGTAATTCATCAACACATCTCACGTTATTCAGTCAAAGTTTATGTTGAAATGAGTTAAAACAAACTAAGATTTTCATTCAGACTAATTCAACAATGTTTAATGGGCGAACTTTCTTTAGTTCACCGTTCTTAATCATTACAGAAACCACCATTATCTATCATAATTATACTATTTCTATCGAATAAACCTATATTTTTTTCCAATAAGTACAACATATATGATGATTATCGATTTGAATAATTTGCCTGATGAAGTGCTTTTCTATTCACATGATGTATTTTACAAATTTATCGAAAGTTGTTTAGGTGTCGATGAGATGAACTTATTGAAGTTGCAATCAATAAAAAACATTAGAACACTTTCAAATGTATCAGATGTTTTTGCTATATTTAGTGTTAATTGCAAAGAACTTGCTGATCTTAAAAATCGTATTTGTTTCGTCGATGAAGATGATAATAACAGCATTATTATTAAAGCAGGAATTAAAGCTGGCATTGATAATTTAATAGCAACACTTAGAGAGAAGAACAACAAGTATATTAAACGAACAAAAAACTTCAAATCATCATCATGATCTTCTATCATAAATCATAATAATTCGAATACATATTTGACAAATACACCGATTTCTGATTCCGTCGATTCATCGTTAACATCAACACCAACACCAACACCTATTTTATTGACAATCAATTATTACATCAACTTGATTTCCGATAGCATCGAAAAATTTTCTATTAATACTTTTACAAATATTATTTTAAAAAATAACGAGGATTATGTCATATGTTTAACTTCATCACTTACGAACGTAAATGGACGCACAAAATTTGGTTGTAATACAATACTTAAACTTCGTTTTGGTTCATATAGTCATTCATTTCAACTATCTGTGTATTTTAAGCATTTAAAGGTTAGTCGTTGTTCCATGATAAAAAAAAAGAAGCAAGTACTAGTTGAAAATTTAAAAAAAGAAAAATAATTCATCAAATGATTTGTTGCAAAATAACAATCTTTATGATATGAACGATAACAATGATTATGACGAAAAATGCTTGAATGATGACAATGATCTTTCTCAAATTACAACTAACACTTCAATCTCAAGCAACTCCAGTTCTTTTAGCGAAAAACGACCAACATCATCATCCACTAAGTCCAAAAAGAAACAAAAGCATTTGTAGAGTATAACTGAATAGAGAATTTGAATATAATTTTTTTTTATATGTTTATGTTTATTTATTATACAACATTTATTTAAATTTGAAAACTTTTATTTTGAGTGTTGGATGTACATTAGCTTATACTTTTTGCTCTTTTCTTACTTTTATGTATAATTAAATTATTCTAAATATAATTGCAATTACATTTTTTGAAACAGTTATTTATCTTAAACCATGTATAATTAGAACCAAGACGATTCTTGACATATTAAATACTTTTTATAGATAGTTTTTTATTATCTGGTAGCTACGGCTAGTATGGAACCAGAATTATTACCATTTCTTGAATATATCTCATCCTTTTCCGATGATGCTTTCTATACATTTGTCAAAGAATTTGTTGGTGAAGTAGAAAGTGAAATTTTAGAAGTACAACGCATTAAAAATGTTCGAGGGTGTGGCTGTGGCTGTGGCTGTGAGGGTGTGGGTTTGAATGACTGGAACCCAAGTGAATGGATCAACAATTACACCCAGACCCACCCACACCCACCCATCTAGTTTTTATTCTAACGACGGTGACTCAGCTGATTGACTTATACAACCAACTACAACTCAGATAGCTTTAGACCTACTGCAACTCTTGAAGTATTTTCCCTGTTATTTTATTTCATCTGTTGGCCAATACGATTGCATCAATGATATGAACTTTTAGGTATGAATATCAGTACAGAATATGGAGGCAACGGCTTTGGCTGATGTTGTAATGGCGAGAGCTGTAGTGTTCAGACCAGACTGCACCGCGACAAAAATACCACTGGAAACTTTGACAATAACTGGTAGTAGCGTACACACGACACTGCTCAATGCTTGTAAGAGATATTCATAGAAAAACTGTCCCATTGAGTATAGCGCACAACCAAGCGGATGAAAAACGAATTGGTATAGTCTATCACAAAGCATTCGTGCAACGTACAAAGCCAATCTGCTAACTGGTTTTAACACCTCACAATAGATATATGGACAAATCGTAAGAATCGCTCGACAGAAAGGCAACAGAGTGTATCCAGAAAAGAACGCACAGGCATCACAAAACGAACCTGTCGTACACACCACGCAGGTAGGAACATGAAGAACAAGTTGTCGTAGATAATAATAAATTGTTCGCATGCTGTCTTTTACCCCTCTGTATAATGGTGTTAGGAACTCAGTGTAAACGAACGAGCCGATCTTGACAATACTCTGATAGAATGGCAACAGTGCATCAATAAAAATGAATATCCATAATGGATATAGAATGTTTTGCCATGTCCATATGCATGCTGATTGAAATCTACGAAGTAGCAATCTGAGAGCGCTGCGAAGTACGATATAAAGCTCGTTGATCCATGTAGGAGTCGGTGTAATTACACATAAGTAACAGAACAGAGCTGCTGGTAGGATGATCTGTTGATAGCACCGAACATAGAGCCATACTATCGTACCTGCGATCCATTTACTGGCATAATTCACGACTGGAAGAATAGAATTATGCGTAAAGAATGCGATGGGTTGGAGTATGTTCTTGTAAAATTCTGCGCCGAAATATTGAACGTATGCAGATAGTTTCGTGCCAACTAATACGAGACAATAGGCAATGCCTTCAACGAAGTATGCTATGTATATGACTGTAATAGCGAACAACTTGATTAATTGCATGACCGTGAATTTCGCAGTGTAATAGGCAATAGGAAGGATAATAATAATGAGAGAAAGTGTAGGTGCGATTACGCGTAGGTAGCAGATATGAACTGTTGGCAGAATGATCTGTTGATAGGACCACACACAGAACCACGCTATGGTATCTACAAGCCATATACTAACAATATGCATGACCGGAAGAATGAAATTATGCGTAAAGAATTCGATAGGTTGCAGTATGTTCTTGTAAAACTCTGCCCCCAAATATCGAACGTATGCAGGAAATTCATTGTACACTACTACGAGATAATGGGCAATGCATTTAACCAGAAATGCCAAGTATAGGCCTACAACATCCAAGACCTTAATCGACTGTTTGACTGCGAATGTCACAATGCGATAGGCAATATAAAGGATAATACCAATGAGAAAAAGTGGTACTTTCAACAGTAGTAGGTAGATTGATCCTTGAAAGAAGTTGTAAATTTCATAGCGAGGTTTGACATTATTGTGTGGTCGTAGTCCCATCGTGTTCTATCGGTATCCTGTAGTAAAATTACAATGATTTCAAACTATTAGAACTACCTCTCTAGATGTTGTGAAGGAAAGCTGAAAAAATATCACTATCGAACGTATTCATCCATCATACTAATCGGTACTTCGATAGGTAAAAACTCGAGTCTCTTTTGTGTTTTCGTGTATTATGGTGTCTATTATGAAGCTAACGAACTAGATAAGTAGGTCTGTTGTCCATCGAACAAAAAAAAGCAGATAGAACGGTCAATTACCTTCGCCTTAAGGAAGTAACGGCATAGCCGCCATTGATCTCTTGTCTTGATGCTTATTATTTAGTTTCCACGTACGTTGTTAGGAAGAGCGTCAAAAACTGCATCCTTTAGGGTAATTTGAAATTTTTTTAAAAAGTACTTTCAAAACAGTTATCTTTTCATGTATAAATGTGGCGTGAACTACAAGATAGTTTGAACGCTGTTTCAAAATAATGTTAAAATAAAGGCTTTTCTTAATTAATATGCTTCCAAACAGACAGCGATAGGCACAAATTATTGCTGTCTGTATTTTCAGGTATCTACAGTTTATATTATGATAAAAAGACATTAATGCCTTGTCAGAAACCAGAAGAAAATAGTTCAGACAACAAATAAGTCCTGCTTCACGCGATCAGTTCGGAAGCATAATTATGAAGAAAGCTCTGAATCTAACACTATTTAGACACACTATTCCATCCATATTATAGTTTGCACCGCATTCATGCATAAAAAATTAACCATTTTTAAGATACTTGTTAAAAAGTTATTAGCGTAATCCCTGTGGGATTAAAATGTGAAACACGATATACCTATTGTTACTAATTCCCTAAAAACTGATCTTTTTTAAGTACAATGGGCATATTCCATCAGTTTTACTAAATTTACAGCGTAGAACTGCATAAAGGAAATACTTCATGAATACTACAATCAGAGGTTTGTTGTACATAACGTCTGATAGTCTATTGAATGTGACTATCAGGCGCTGTGATGATCCATGAACAGTGTCTGTTATGGTCTGTAATGGTCCCCAAATCCTGTCTGTCACGGTCTGTGGAAGGGTGTGGGGGGAGGGGGGGGGGGGGAGAAGGAGAGAGTGGGCCCAAAACTTCTACCCTCTGTACTTCAACACTACTTTTAGATCTTGTTTCACAAAATAGCTCATTTTGTAGCGCATTCTGTGTCGTATGCAATGGTATGTGTCTAAAAAATGTCACACAAGAAAAGAAGGATGTGGGTGTGGGTAGGGTATGGATGCGAATGGAGAGAAGACCTACATCCACACACACTCACACACACTCTCATATCCACACCCCGCTCACATCCACGACCAAACCCATACCCATACCCACACCCACCACACATACACTCACCAGACACGCTTATACCCTCTTGTTAAGAGCTGGGTGAGAGTGGACTCGTACAAATGATATTTGATTCTTTTGCCTAAAAGTTTTTGAAGAAAATGGGTTGGAGTGGAGTCTCATCAATGGAGAATCTTATGCTCTATCGATTGATACTATTTTTGAATTAAACGGCGGTCAGAGTGGGTGAGAGTATATTTTACTAATACCCCAAAATTGATGATTTTCACGGAAAGTAGAGTACGAAGTGAGATGTATCGGACAGTGAAAATAGTTCTGCTGTATAAATCGACAATTACGAAAAAATATGTAAGCGTCTGGATCATTTTTTGGCTACCAGTCTATATTGGTTTCGCGCAAGATAGCATCCTCAGTCGACGTTTCGGGGTGCACTTAGCGCATGTGTTTTCTGATGACTTAAATTGTTCATTAGATCATCTATTAAGAAGTGTTTATTTTTTCATATTTAGGTATGCGCCGGCCTCAGTCATGATCGGTGGACTAAGTAACCCATTCGGACTGATATCCACTTGGACTGTGTGCAATGCGCTACTGCATATTCAATAAATTCATTGGTCAACTGAGCAGCTCGTCTGACTAGATACCTAGTCTGACTGGGTACACAGAATAACTGGATGCCCAATTCACCAATGAATTTATTGGATATTCAGTAGCGCATTGCACACAGTTCGAGTGGATACCAGTCCGACCGTAATGATGCATAACTATTCATATTTTATATAGCT